GCTACCATCACAGACTATACCACTCTGCTGCCACCACAGACTGCCACTCCTGCTGCCACCACACAGACTATACCATTGCTGCTGCCACCCTACAGACTACCACTCTTACAGTACCACTTCTGCTGCCCAGATTATACCTCTGCTGCCACCACAGACTATACTCCTGCTGCCCAGACTATCTGCTGCAACCACCAGACTATACCTCCTGCACCACCACAGACTATACCACTCTGCTGCCACCACCAGACTATACCACTCTGCTGCAGACTATCACTCCTGCTGCCACCACCACAGACTATACCCTGTGCTCGCACCACCAACAGACTCACCCACTGCTGCTGCCACCACAGACTATACACACCTGCTGCACCACACCACCACCCCACAGACTATACCACTCTGCTGCCACACAGACTATCACTCCTGCTGCCACCACAGACTATCACCACTCCTGCCTGACCCCACTCCTGCACTCCTGCTGCCACCACAGACTATACCACTCCTGCTGCCACCACAGACTATACCACTCCTGCACCCAGATCTACCACTCTGCTGCCACAATACCCCACTCCTGCTGCCACCACCAGACTATACTCTCCTGCTGCCACAGACTATACCACTCCTGCCCCACAGACTACCACCCTGCTGCCACCACAGACTATACCCTCCTGCTGCCACCACAGACTCTACCCACTCTGCCCACCACAGACTATACCACTCCTGCTGCCACCACAGACTATACCACTCTGCTGCCACCACAGACTTACCACTCCTGCTGCCACCACAGACTATACCACTCCTGCTGCCACAGACTATACCCACTCTGCTACCACAGACTAATACCACTCCTGCACCACCACAGACTATACCCTCCTGCTGCCACCACAGACCCACTCTGCTGCCACAGACATTGCTGCCTATATACCACTCTTGCTGCCACCACAGACTATACCACTCTGCTTACCACACAGACTATACCCACTCCTGCTGCCCCGCCACAGACTATACCACTCCTGCTGCCACCACCACAGACTATACCACTCCTGCCACCACAGACTATACCACTCCTGCTGCCACCACAGACTATACCTCTCCTGCTGCCACCACCACAGACTTCCTGCCCACCACAGACTATCCACTCCTGCTGCCACCAGCTCTTACCACTTCTGCATACCACAGACTATCCACTCCTGCATACAGACACACTTTCCACACAGACTATACCACTCCTGCTGCCCCACAGACTATACCACTTGCCGCCACCACAGACATACCACTCCTGCTGCCACCACACAGACTATACCACTCCTGCTGCCCACAGACTATACCACTCCTGCTGCCGAGACTACCACCACTCCTGCTTACACCCACAGACTATACCACTCCTGCTGCCACCACAGACTATACCACTCCTGCTGCCACCACAGACTATACCTCTCCTGCTGCCTGCCACCACTGCACTGCCACCCCACCCCTGCCACCACAGACTACACCACTCCTGCCCACCACAGACTATACCACTCTTGCTGCCACCACAGACTATACCTCCTGCCACCACAGACTCCTGCACTCTGCCACCACAGACTATACCTCCTGCTGCACAGACTATACCACTCTTACCACCACAGACTATACCACTCTTGCACCACAGACTAATACCACTCCTGCTGCCACAGACTATACCCTCTGCTGCCACCACAGACTATACCACTCCTGCTGCCACACCAGACGATACCACTCTTGCTGCCACCATAGACGCCTCTTGCTGCCACCACAGACTATACCACTCCTGCTGCCACCACCACAGACTATACCACTCTGCTGCCGCCACAGACTATACCACTCCTGCTGCCACCACTACAGACTATACCACTCCTGCTGCCACCACAGACTATACCTCTGCCCCGCCACAGACTACCACTGCTGCACCACAGACTATACCTCCTCCTGCCACCACAGACTATACCACTCCTGCTGCCACCACAGACTATACCTGCTGCCCCACAGACTATACCTCCTGCTGCCACCAGAACTATACCACCCCTGCTGCCCACAGACTATACCACTCCTGCTGCCACCACAACTATACCACTTTGCTGCCACCACAGACTATACCACTCCCTGCCACACAGACTATACCACGCCTGCTGCCACCACAGACTATACCACACCTGCTGCCACCACAGACTATACCACGCCTCTGCCACCACAGACTATACCACGCCTGCTGCCACCACAGACTATACCACACCTGCCACCACCACAACTATACCACGCCTGCTGCCACCACAGACTATACCACCCTGCTGCCACTACAGACTATACCACTCCTGCTGCCACCACAGACTATACCACGCCTGCCACCACCACAGACTATACCACGCCTGCTGCCACTACAGACTATACTACTCCTGCCACCACTACAGACTCTACCACACCTGCCACCACCACAAACTATACCACGCCTGCTGCCACTACAGACTATACTACTCCTGCCACCACCTCAGACTATACCACACCTGCCACCACCACAGACTATACCACACCTGCCACCACCACAAACTATACCACTCCTGCTGCCACCACAGACTATACCGTTCTTGCCACCACCACAGACTATACCACACCTGCCCCCACCACAAACTATACCACTCCTGCTGCCACCACAGATGCCCCACTGGACTCTTAGAAGCCTAATTCATAGACCAGGTCATTACATGTTTTTCTGCCATTATAGAGACCTGCACCAGCACACCTGCACCGGACATATAGGATTGCCGGCGACTATGTCTACTTGCCATTATTGGTCATCTCACCACCCAACTTAAATGATCGTCTCTGGAAGCCTGTACTCCACAGTTCATTCTCCAAGGCTTCATTGATAAACTGACATGTGACATCTGGCAAAGCATCAAAGAAGAATATGAACCACCGTCACCCACACCAGAACTACACGTCTGGACGCCAGGGATATGTGTCATGTTATCCTCCATACTCCGCCCACCTCCACTACCACTGGTGGCCGCTCATTCAGCACACCAGACTGACCAGCCTCGCTGCTCTCTCACACGTCAACACTTGTTTGGTGCCAGGACACCGTCGTCTTGCTCTTGACTACTAAAATTTAACTGTTGTGTATGAATCACTCAAAGAATAGAACCCTAGATAATCAAGTTATGGTAATTATGCCAATTGGTCCGAGAACACTTAATCATTATTTCACAATCTCTGACCACAGATCCTTAATCTGTACGTCGATAACATAAACCGAGATTTAAAGCAAATTGGATTTTTTGGATCAAAATTTAATTTCTTCAGAACTTCGGTATAGGTTGTAGGTTATGTATACAGTATAAGCTACTGTGCAGAGTAGCAACCCTGTATATAAGCTACTGTGCCGAGTAGCAACCCTGTATATAAGCTACTGTGCAGAGTAGCAACCCTGTATATAAGCTACTGTGCAGAGTAGCAACCCTGTATATAAGCTACTGTGCAGAGTAGCAACCCTGTATATAAGCTACTGTGCAGAGTAGCAACCCTGTATATAAGCTACTGTGCCGAGTAGCAACCCTGTATATAAGCTACTGTGCAGAGTAGCAACCCTGTATATAAGCTGTGCCGAGTAGCAACCCTGTATATAAGCTACTGTGCCGAGTAGCAACCCTGTATATAAGCTACTGTGCCGAGTAGCAACCCTGTATATAAGCTACTGTGCCGAGTAGCATTTATATATATTATCACGTGGCAACACTGCACGTGTTATGTGGCAACATTGCCCCGAGGCTGCCATATGGCAAGGCAGCCTTAGTCTGACTGTGTGAACCGTGCTTGGCACACGCGAGTCACCACTTGTATTTCTCTCATCCATAATAAACGGACTTCAGTGTTACACAGTGTTTCCCTACCCATCACTGCATTCTTCAGGGAACACTAGTAACTTTCATAGGTCGCCCTCGACACGCTGATTAAGGATCTGTGGTCGAAAGGTAAGTTGTTTTAGTACTATATAATGAATAATGGTTTATGAACAAGAAAGGGAGAGAATATATTTTAAATGTATTATGAAAAATGTTTTATTAATATAGATAATGCAGTATATTACAAACACAGTAAAAACATTCTCTTATCTAAACATTTTAGTGCACTTGTAAGTAAACCAGTATGCATTATATAGTAAATTAAGACCAAACAGGATCTTTAATAATGGTAGACCAATCTATTCCGAGATGCTAAAGAAAAAAAATCCATAAAAACAAAATTTACATTATTACGCAAATATAAATAAATTTTATTGTCAAGTTACGAGTAGAATATAATTAGCTGTCAACCCCTGAACATCAGGTACAATATAGCAGCTCTTCCGACGAGTCTGGCAGTAGTAGTTTATGGTGGCGTGAAGTCGACCCGAGTACAGTGGAGTCCCAGCTCCCCCGAACAGCATACACAAGGAATGGGGTTAAACTTCAGGTCTCCCTTGAATCGAGATCCTGAAAACTTAAGTCCATTGGCCTACGCGAGTCCCCACGACTTGACAAGCCAGGTGATATATGTCTCTTAGAGGATAAGGATTTTAGAACACTGAGGATGATGTCTCTCACGCCCGGCCCTTGTCGTGGGGTAGAGTCCTACTAAACAACATAAAATCTTCATTTCAAACTCCTACAGTAATAACACCAGACATATTAACATAACACCAACATGAACCATAAACCAATAAGATATAAGCAAATAACAACAAAATATAATATAAACAAACCAATAATAAAAATGAAAGCGTTCTCTTACCGATACCCTCAGGCTGAGAGAAGGAAGTCTTGTGACCACTTCACTCCACTGACCTTCCCAGAGCTCATCACCTCTGTTCCGTGTTGGGTAACTCAACACTTTGACAAGGCACAAGCAAACAACCCTAAACCAAACCATCACCAATTTTCCCAACAACTTGGCCCCTGATTGGCTTAACATTCCCGCCAGGTTCTGGGATTCGCCGACTGACACACACACACACACACACTGGGTGACGTAGGGATGAAGGGCGTATATAAACAGTGTGAGGTGGTTGCGGGACAGCAGTTGGGGCGGAGATCTCAGACAAGCTACATCTTACCTGTCAACCTCTATAAACATGGTTCGTTTCTTTAGTGTAATTCTTTACTTACACTTTACAGATCTCTCGGCTGATACCCAATCAACTTCTATAAATTTATACATAAAACATTATATATATATATATATATATATATATATATATATATATATATATATATATATATATGAGAGAGAGAGCTCTGTAACTATTGATTTCACTTCGGTTATATACTAAAAAAATCATGAATAGTTTCATGGTTCCTTTAGACATTATAATATACTTTCATGTGTGTCTCGCCTAACCTAGCTTAACTAAATCTATCCTTAGAGTCTTCGAGTGCTGGTGCTGGTGGCGTGTGTGGCGGTGGCGTTGACTGACATCATCCCACCACCACCACCGTCTGGCTGTGTCGCCTTCTGTCCCCACCCAAACCCGTACCCCGGCGCCCCGGACTATATCTGCTGTGATCGTGAGTACACACTCTTAATTAATACTTGACTTAGATGCGAGTTATTGTAGTGTGTTATTGTTAAGTGTTATTGTTATGTGTAATTCTTTGTCTTGACTACAGTGATATCTCCACATAACGGACTTAACTCTCCATATAATCCGTTAGATGGAGGGGATTTCATATCTAATAGACCTTCCCCTCGTTATAATGGTTCTTCCTCTGTTGTCCGTTAAATGGAGATTTTTTTCTTTTGTAAAATTTATCCAGAGTCCAATAAAAGATGACGGTGTTGGGGTAAACTTTATGGCTAATGTGAATTAATTTTTTTCACAGCTCATCCTGGTAGATGCCCACGTATACGCTCAGTTTGTCCGTTCTCCTCCCAAAATGTCCCGGTATGTCTAAAGAGTTTTGTGAATATCTTGTCTGTCTGATACTTGACTCTACCTGGATATAACTGCTAATATGTTAACGACTGTGCTTATAATCGTAATTTTTATTATTCTTACTCTCTACTTTACTCGACAAACTCTTTATTATTACAGGAGTGCAGTAAAGATTACGACTGTCCGTTACATGAGAAATGTTGTGAAGACGCTTGTCTGTATGTCAAGGTGTGCAAACTAGCCCTACACTGAGCCAAGAAGAACAATAAACACTCGCTAAACATGGAGGAAGGAAGCTAAGGCTAATGAGAAGTGAGAAATAACGAGAAGAAGCGAGGAATGGCAAGAGAAAAGAATAACGAAAACTTTCCCATTGACTGATCGAAGAAAGAAATGACGGAACATTATTCATTTCCTTTATAATTGTTGACATTTTACACGTTAATTTGTCTTTGTTGACTTGGGTTAATATTTTATTGTTTATTTCACCATCCTACTTATGCCTCTTAACACAATAAAGAAGTGGAACAAAACTCCTCTTTATGTATCCTATACCATCTTTTAAACGTCTCATAACATATAGAGAAATAGAACAGGTCTTTGTATTCTATTTCATAATTAAGGAAGTTGTGTCATTACGTAGGAGTTACTGTACCGTCTGTCATGTTACCCTGTGTGTCTACTGGTTTGTGATGTTGTAGATACTTGTAATACTGACTGTAAATGAACCGTATCATTACTAATTTAACCAGACCTAGCCTAGTGTAACTTAACCTAATCTAACCTTGTCAAGCCTAATGTAACCTAGCCTAGTTATTTAAATCGATTCTAACTTAGCCTCACTTAATGGAGGTATATTAAAGTTATGATGTTATGATGGTGAATTATCAAAGAATAGCAATAAAAATAATTACCATCAGGCACAAATAAATTAAGTATGATGAAAAACTAATAATAATGACCGTTATATTAACTCAGTCTGTTTGTATACATTATCCGGCATAAACAATTACAGGGGTCGCATGCTTGTGTCCAAGGCCCCTAGAGCTCTCCCAGCTGTGAATGGGTACCTAACCTTACAAGTGGAGAGAGTAAAGGTGGTCAAATGGTGTGTCAGCCATGTTGCCTCCTTGTGTACTGAAGGTTTAGTATACAGTATGCTGTATCCCCACCGCCTCTAACTAGATACTATTCTCCTGTATTAAAAATAACTAATAATAACAATGATGATAATGAAGATGTTGGCAATGACAATAAATTATTATTATTAACGAATATGATGAAGTCGAAAATGAGGAGGTCAGGTCAAAAACATGGTTCATAATACAGACACAACACAGACAAAAACAAACCCCAGAACAAACAGACCCAATACCACTCAAACAAACACCATTAAATTAAACCCACAAACAAACACCTTACAATGAAACACACAAACAAACAAGCGAGACGAAACATCAAAGATTCTTAAGATATTGGAGGAAGAGAACAAAAAACACTAGGAAAATTTAACAAGTGTTGAGTCTCGTAAAAACCAGTTTATTGAGCCGCCACGCAGGGGTCGAGCCTTTGATTCCTAGGATGAACGTCGTGCACCGTTAGTACCAGAGTTGAACACCAGGAGAGGTCTCGTTCAATCAAGCTAGATTTAATTTGTGATGTCTGTTTTATGTATGTGTTTTATTGTACCTTAAGTTATTTAAATATATATTATTTCTAGTATATACGAGAATAATAATGACGCTCGCCCTATGGACAGAAATTATCAGGATCTGGATTTTTTTCTAGTATATACGAGAATAACATCGAAGTTCATCCTGAGAAAAGTAAAAATATGGTTTCATTTTTGTAATATGTACGAGATTAATGACGACAATGATCCTGTGGTGTATACGAGGACGTTGATCCTGGGAAAAGATTAAAAAATAAGGACCTTTTATCTCTACCTTAATGTACTGAGTGCGTTGACGGCGTTGAAGATGTGTTGACGGCGTTGAAGATGTGTTGACGGCGTTGAAGATGTGTTGACGGCGTTGAAGATGTGTTGATGGCGTTGAAGATGTGTTGACGGCGTTGTCATTCCACTGGCAGCGTTAGTTATGCATTTCTAGCGTGGATTATGCGATGAGAGAGAGAGAGAGAGAGAGAGAGAAATCCAATACGATATTTCAGAATGGGGAAATAGGCAGAGGAGCATAAAACAAGAGGGGTATGGAGAAGGGTTGAAGGAGAAGGGGGGAAGGAAGGGAGGAGAGAAGGGGGGGTAAGAAGGAATGGGAAAATCCGTAAGTTTACTGGGACTTTCACAGGTGCCCCCGAAAATAACCAGACACCCGTTTATTCTCTCATGTTTGGTGCTGTTTTTTGATTCTCTCTCTTAGTGTAACTACCATCTTTCTCCTCTCTTTTTGGTCTTGCTTTATCTCTCTTTACATCTATTCTTTATTTTCTTCTCTCTGTCTCTCTTTCTCTCTTCCTGAAGCTGTGGAAGCGAGAACAGTACTGGGCTTTAAAGTGGTGTCAAGAACAATGCATGGCCCACTGGCCACCCTCTCTCGGCCTGGCCACCTCTAGTTTGGGTGGGTGGACATGAGGGTAGATCAGGCATCTTTATTATATAATGTTGCAACGAATAAACCACAACCCAAGAAAATAACACACACACACACACACACACACACACGAGCGCGCGGCGACAGCCAATCAGAGAGCTGCGCAGGAGAACCTTACGCATATATAAGGGGATGAGAAGGGCGTTGACGGCGTTGAAGATGTGTTGACGGCACTGAAGATGTACTGACGGCGCTGAAGATGTGTTGAAGGCGTTGAAGATGTGTTGATGGCGCTGAAGATGTGTTGACGGCGCTGAAGATGTGTTGACGCCGTTGAAGATGTGTTGACGGCGCTGAAGATGTGTTAATGGCGCTGAAGATGTGTTGACGCCGTTGAAGATGTGTTGACGGCGCTGAAGATGTGTTAATGGCGTTTAAGATGTGTTGACGGCGTTTAAGATGTGTTGATGGCGTTTAAGATGTGTTGACGGCGTTTAAGATGTGTTGATGGCGTTGTCATTCCACTGGCAGCGTTAGTTATGAATCTCCAGCGTGGATTATGCGATGAGAGAGACAGAGAATAATCCAATACATTTCAGAATGGGGAAATAGGCAGAGGAGCATAAAACAAGAGGGGTATGGAGAAGGGTTGAAGGAGAAGGGGGGAGGGAAGGAGAGAAAGGGGGGGTAAGAAGGAATGGGAAAATCCGTAAGTTTACTGGGACTTTCACAGGTGGCGCCCCCCCCTCACCCGACCACACACACACACACACACACACTCACACGCGCGTGCGCGGAAACAGCCATTCAGAGAGCTGCGCAGGAGAACCTTACGCATATATAAGGGGATGAGAAGGCCCAGGGAGTCACACTTGGCCTGACAACCTCGTCGTCTGCACTGCTCCTCCAACGCCTCCTGCCATCCATAATGGTCAGTGACAACATGATGTTCGTCATTTGTTTTGTTGTACTTGTGTCCTGTATAATAAGTTATAATGTATATTTCGTGTACTGTGATGGTACTTGAGTTAATGTAAGGTGTACCCACAGCTGCGCCTGTTGGTAGTGATGACCGTCGTGACGGTGGGTCTTGGCTCTAGCATCCTTCCTGTCACTCCCAGCTGTGTCTTCTGGTGCAATTTCCCAGCCGCTGTCAACGCTGGTGCCAGTTACTGCTGCATTAATTCAAACCAGAGAATTGTCGAAAATACAAGTCTAGGTCAGTGTTAACTAATGGTTATTATGCATTGGTACATGTTAATATTTAACTTGATGAATAACATATATTTTTTTTAAATATACTTATTTAGAGACGAGATTAATAACTTTTCATTTTCTTTCTTTAGAACCCCATGCAGGTAGATGTATAATCCATACCTTCTGTGCCAGAGGCGACTTTACACCGCCTTCCCCTATCGTAAGTTTACTATTACTTTTGCTTCATTATTTTTTAAACTTACCTATAATTCACTAATTATATTAAGGTGGGGTAATCGAAGTTTTCTTAATAATAAACCCCAAAAGGCGCCAAATTTCTTTGTACAAAAAAGAACCAATTAAACTAAGTTGTCTTGTTGTTTTATATAAAATGTGAAGATTATCACGAATATTTTCTTTCTGTTCAGTAAGTAAAATAGTAATTATTACAATATTCTAATGTATCTTTCTCACACCTGAACAGAGATGCGGTCATGATGACTATTGTCCCTACAACGAAAAATGCTGCTATGACGCCTGTCTGAAGCACCACACCTGCAAGGGTCCTCTTCCCCATTAACTCCTTGCACAAGATCACACCGAATGTTCCACCCGCTGCCTTCTCGGCGTCACACCTAAAACAATTATCATGTAAACAACGCCAATACGAGCATTCAGCAGCCAGCCGTTCCTCCCCACCCAGTAATGCAGTTGTCTCAAAATGGAACTTGTAACTGGAACGTGATCCACTTGAGTACCACCAAATGTTACACTTGTGTTATATGAACTGTGTATTATTATTGCTGTTATTATGTTCTTCAGGTTTGTTGCATATGCTTTATGTTCATTAGAGAGCAGTGTTTCTTACAATGAAGTTGTTGTCATCAATTACAAGGTTTTACAATAAAGTTGTCGTCCGTTCAAAAGTTTTAATTCCACGAACACCTACTATGAGCGGCATTGTATAAACCCAATGTTAAGGGTGGGAGTTGTGGACCAGTTGAGAGGGTAACAAAAAAGCACGACTGGTTTGTGTCCAGTCTTGTGTCCAGATATGTGTCCAGGCTGTGGATTAATACCTTGCCAGGACACACTACTCCATCTAATGCATCT